ATATGTATTTTTTCTACTTGTTTTTTGACATATAGAAATGTACTTTTTTAAAAAACACTGATTTTTGAATCCAAGAAACTAGCTAAACTCTCTTGCTATTTTAAATTATTTACCTGTATAGGATTTCTACATAACTGTTTGTATCATCTGTGATTAGTGACAGTTTTGATTCTTCCTTTTCATCTCTTACCGCTTTTTCTTTTTTTTTTTTAACCACACCAAGTATGTGAACCCATTTCTTCTTGCCTTTCTGTGTTTGCCAAGACTACTAGTAAAATGCTGAAGAGAAGGTACTTTCAGGGACGCATCGTAATTAGTAGGTTTGCTGTAGGTTTTTGATAAGGTTAAGAAAATTGTCTTATATTCCTATTTTGTTAGAACTTCATTTGATCATGGATGTAAAATTTTATCAATTTTTTTTTTTGTTTGATTGATTGTTTGTTTGTTTATTTGAGACGGAGTCTCTGATTGTCGCCCAGACTGGAGTGCAACGGTGTGATCTCGGCTCACTGCAACCTCCGCCTTCAGGGTTCATGCGATTCTCCTGTCTCAGACTCCTGAGTAGCTGGGATTATGGACGCACACCACCACACCAGGCTAATTTTTTGTATTTTTAGTAGAGACGGGGTTTCACTATGTTGGCCAGACTGGTCTCAAACTCCTGACCTTGTGATCCACCCGCCTCGGCCTCCCAAAGTGCTGGGATTACAGGTGTGAGCCACCTCACCCAGACCAAATATTTTTCTTCATCAGTTGAGATGGTCATGATTTTTCTTCTTTGATGTGTTAATGTAATTAATTATAGGAATTTGTTTTCCAATATTAAAACAACTTTGCACTCCTTAAATAATTAAACTCAGTGTTGTCTTCATGTATTAACTATTTTATTATTTGATGAAATGAGATGGTCAATATTTTGTTTTAGATGTTTGTAACAATGTTAATGAGTGAGAGTGGTCTATAATTTTCCTATCCCAAACTTTCTTAACTGTATTTTATATCAAGATTATGCCTCCTGAAATAAATTACAAAGTATTTCTTTGTTTTTTACTTCTATTGGAGAGTTTGTGTAATATTGGGTTTCATTCTACGGGATTTTGAAGGACTTTCTGGGCTAGTGTGTAATTGTAAATTTTAAGCTATTGATTTAATTTATTTAATGTTCATAGACGAATTAGGTTTCCTTTTTTATTCACAAAAAAATGGTTTCTTCCTCTTCAAGGTTTCCTCTTATCCTTTACATATCTATAGTATCTGCATAATTATTATTCTGTTTTTTATTCCTTACATTGGTCATTTCTGCTCTCTCTTCTTTTTAAACCATTCTCACCAGATGTCTTGCAATCTTATCAGTCTTCTCAAATGAACAATTTTTGGTTTTGTTGATTGTTTCCACTTAAGTTCTTTCTTTCTTCTCAGTTTATTTTGTTCATTTTCTAACTTCTTAATTTATATACTTCTTAATTTTCAGCCCTTCCTCTCTTCCTATATTAAAAATGTAAGACCACAAATTTTAAATTTTCCTGTTACAATTCAGCTTCACACACACACACGCGTTGTTATTTTGTTCTCATCTGAGTTTTAAATATTTTTTTATTTCTATTATGATCTTTTCTTTGATCTATAAGCTAGGCCTGCATATATATTAATTTTTAATCTTGGTATTTCTAGGTTACTTTTTGTTGTTTGTATCTAATTTGACACATTCTGTGATCGGAAAATGTCAACACTATGATACCAACACTTTGAAATGTCTCAGGACTTGATGTACAGCCTGGAACTTAGCCAATTTTTATAAATGTTCCACATTGCTTCAAAACAACACATTCTGCATTTGTTAGGTTCATTGTTCCATACATGTCTATTGAATAAAGCTAATTTATTGTACGTATTAATTTGCCAAGGCAGCCATAACAAGTACTACAGACTGGGGGTTTAAACAACAGAAATTTATTCTCTCACAGTTCTGAAGGTCAGAAGTCAAAGATCAAGGTTGCAGGGTTGGTTTCTTCTGAGACTTCTCTTCTTGTTTTGTAGCTGTTCATCTCCCTGTGATTTCACATGGTGTTTCCTCTGTGTCCAAATCTCTTCTTATAAGGACACCAGTCCTATTAAATTAGGGTTCACTCTAGTGACCTCCTTCTAACTTAATTACCTTCAAGATTTCCTTGCTGATTTCATCGGTAAGGTGCTGAAAGAGCAGTCAAATTTTCCAATGTGATGATGAATTTTTCTATTTCTCTATAAAGTTCTCTCGATTTTTGATTTATGATAATGATTTTGAGGCTATGTTATTAGTATATTTAAGTTTAGAATATTTATAGCTACTTGGTAAATTAAACATTTGATTATTATGGAGTTACCTCTAGCTCCAGAAATGCTTTTCCCTTATATTTTATTTTGTCTGTTAAAATATACTTACACTAGCTTTCTTCCCATTAATGTTTGTGTGGTAAATATGTTTTCATCATTTTACTCTCTACTTTTATCTTTAATTTTTTGGTAGCTTGGGTTTTTAAGATTCAGTCTCATAATATTTTTCTTTTGAATAGAGTATATGTCCATTGGTATTTATTATCAAGAGAATGTACTTTGATCTTTTTCTATTAACCTACTTTTTGTGAGACAATATAGAAGTAGTCTTGAAGAGAATAGACCTCTGAGAAATACTGCCTTGGTTTGAATATCAGCTCTATTACTTACTATCTGTGTAACCTTGGCCTAGTTACACAGTCTGTGCCCCAGTTTTCTCATCTGTAAAATGGTTATAATAATAACCCTCCCTCATAGCATCATTATAACTATTGAGTGACCTAATATACATAAAGTGCTAAGAACACCGCTGGGCACATGATTAGATATATACATATATCTACTTTCTGTTAATTTTTTATCATTGTATTTATCGCTTGAAGTTAACATGTTTTTTCTGTTTCTCTTTTTTTTTATTTTAAATTGTCAGAGTGTCTTTTCTTATTTGATTTCCTTCTGTCCTCTGATTTGGAAATTATATTCTCTTTCCTGTTCTTTTGGAATTACACTGAAAATTTATCAAATGTATTTAATTTGTCCAAGTTTAAAGCCAATTCTTATCTTTACCCTCCTCTTGAACAATACAAGAATTTTGTAACACTTCAACCCTAATCATCCTCTTTCTGACTTATATATTATTTCATATTCTAGATTTTTCTCAATTTTAAGCCTCACAAATTTTTATTACTGCTTTGTATATTCAGTAATTATTTGGTTTTACTCATATATTTGCTTTTTCTTCAATTATTTCTTTTTACAGCTCAATTCTTTCATCTGATAACTCTTTCAGCCTGAATTATATCTTTTAAATTGAGTCTGCAGGTAGAGACTTTTGTTTTTACTATCTGAAAATATCTTTATATCATGCTCTTTTTTAAAAAAAAGTGTAACTTAAGAGGGTTTGTAAACAAATATAGATTCATATCTTCTTTCAGTATATTGGAGATACAGTTTCAATATGTTTTAGCTTCATAGATTTTTTTTTTTAGCTCCATAGTTTTCACTTCCATATTTGCTGTTGAGAAGTAAGACTGATTTTAAAACCCTCACCTTTTGTTCTTCAATGTGAATAAGGTGTTTTAAATATGGTTTTCTCTTCAATTTAACCTGGCTGGTTCTTGGATCTATGGATTTGTGCCTTTCATCAATTCTACAATAGTCTCAGCCATAAAATCTTCAAATGTTATCTCTCCTTTTTTAAATTTCTTTCTGAAAGTCATGTTAGATATGTTAGACCTTATAATTCTATCCATCCTGTCCTTTAACCTCTTTTATATTTATTCTTTGTCTCTGTTAAATTTTGGATAATCTCTTCCAATCTGTTTTCTACTTCGCTAATTCTTTCTTTAGCGAAGTTTTAAACCAATTCGTGAAAGTTTTTTTCCATGTTTTAATCTCTAGAAGTTCTCTTTAAATAATTTTAAGATCTATTATTTAATTGCTTTTAAAATGTAATTTGTTTGTATTCTGTGTCTGATAAATGCAGTTCTTGAAGTCTTTCTGGGTCAGATTTGGCCTTCTGCTGTTTATATTTGATCTTATTACGCATTGTTTGTATGTGTAATATCTCTCTCTCTCTCACTCACACACACACACACACATACACACACCTATTTCTCTAACTCTATTTCTTTTTACTATGAGCTCATGTTTCTTGCAATTTTATAGTGATATTTTGAGGCCTAGGTTGAAGGTGAGGTCACTGACTTTTGCTAAGTGCCTGAGAACACATCTTGCACTGGACCTCTTTAAACTAAATTATCATCTTGAGGTTTCTTAAAACACAGAGTTATTGAAAACTTGATCTGTCAACTTGTGTGTTCACTGGTTTGCCATTAAACATTTTTTGGGCAGCTTCCTCAACTCAGCACCCAAATTTAAGACTCAGAAATCTCTTTGTAGATTTAGAAATATAGTGATTTTGGAGAAAGCATAACCATTTTGGGCACTAGCTTTATGTAAGGAGATTTCTATTAGACTCTCTCTCTAAGCAAACTCTCAGTTTTGACTCCTGTCACAACAAGGACCAGTCATGCAATTGTACACTACGTAATTCCAGGGTGCATCTTTCATATAAACTACACCTTTCCTGTAGTTATACATGTAGTCTATGTGAAAGGTGCCCTTTGATAATGTTCAGTTTCCAATCTGCACAACTATATGTGATGATTCTGTCTCTATCCCCACAAGATGGTGAAAACTAAAGTTCAAGTTCACCAGGTTCAGCAAGTGCCCCCCAGGTAAAAGCTGGGTTTAGTGTTTTGGTTTTGTAATTCCATTACTGACAAAACTTGAATGAAGAGTAGAGACAGTGCCTCTCCCTCTGAAGTCCTTAAAATGGTAGGTATATTGATATCTTATGAATTGAGTTACCAGTCATGATTTTAACAAAAATACCTATCACTTGCTTCATTAAAAGAACTGTAATATGCTGAGAGTGTTTATTGCTTTGCTTTGTTTCTTTTTAGATATGGACTTTCCAGTTTTTCTCCAGCCTACAAACGCAAATGAGAAAACACAGCTAATCAAAGAAGGATCTCGAAGTTATTGCACAGACTCTTGATACTGAGCCCACAGAGAGTCCATAGTCCTTCCTCTCAGTTCAGTCTTGTCTCCAGATGGTCGTGGGGGAGCATGTGGGGCATAAAGTGCTGTGAACTTTTCCATCTTGGTATTTTATTTTTGGGTTAGGAAAACATGCTTGCTATATAATTTTCTCAGTATGCAGACTTTCTCTCTGAGTAGAATTTCTTATGAAACACATTCAATTTGGGTGAATAAAGGCCTGAAGAGTTATTTTATGCTCCTTGCCTGATGAAGGACAGTGGAATTATACAGGCTTTATGAACCTGCCCTTTATGTGAGGCAGACCTGATTCTTAACTGACTAAAGTAATATTCCAGAACAGAAGCCACTTTTCTTCAATTTAACTATACACAGTATTCATAGCTACCACAAACATCATCATTCAAATATATGAGAACTTACAGTTTTTGCGTGTGGAACCTCTTTCTTGTCAATATTCGATAAAGTTATAGAAATGTTTAAAGAGGCCGAAAGGAATGATTAAAGGTATGTTTTTGGAACATTAAAAATTGGCATTTACTAAAAATTGGTAAGTAAAACCATGAAGAGACAGGTTTTTTGTGTATTTGTAGAATGGCTTAAAAACAAAACAAAACTGCAACCCGGTTAAATGTTGTAAATTATCCAGAAAATCATCCTGAGCCTGAATCAGCCCCCATCATCATGTTGATCACTTTCTAATAAAATAATTTTTGTATAACTAGGTCAGGTTAGCCAGACTAAGGGGGAACAAAACACAAGAAGGAGTAAAGCTCTAAACTCTATAGCCTAAATTTGCACCAAAATGCATATCACGTCATTTATGTTAAAATTAATTACCTTGACCAGAAATTGCTCTGCTCTGTGCATATTACACAATTTAAGCCCAGAGGTCATCTCTGCATTTGCTTGTTTGATTCTTACATTTATTAAGTAGTAGAAACCATGTGCTATTTATAAACTACTATGGCAGCAAAAGTGTTTGTTTTTCTAGGTCTTTACTTCTTTATATAATATTGCATTTTCAAGATCTTGTTATGTTTTTATATAATATTGTATAAAATGCCTTTTTCTTGTTTCTTATTCCCCCCACCACCAAATTATAGTCAATTGCTGCTAAATATATATTGTGAAAATTAGTGGTATAGCTCTGACAGTTCTGAAGTCATTAAAATTCTGCTCTAACTCTTGAGTTACTGAAATTTTTTTTCTATGTAATCAAGTAGACAGAGACTTGGTTTGAAAGTTTAGAAACCTGGTTCTAATCTAAGCTTTCATTAACTAGCCTTGTGACCAAGTGAGATGAGAGTAACATGGCTAATCCCTCTACGGCTCTGTTTTCATATCTGCCCTGACCACCTTTCAAGTTGCTGGATGACCAGATAAAATGACAAAAGTGAAAGAAATCTGAAAAGTCAAATGTGTAATAAATATAAGGTGGTTTTAAATGAATTTGTATATGTTGACACACACAGACAAATGTACTGTGACTCTTCATGCATGTAAACTCTGTCACCCAACAAGACCCATGGAGACACCTGATATTAACAGCTCCAGTAACCAGCAAGTGCTTGGAACGCTGTACTCAACAAACAAATGCCACTTTCCATTTGGAGGAAACAATAGGATAAATAGCCCAATCTGCGGATAATTTGAGCCATTCCATTTCCTTCCTGTCGTCTTTTTAAGCAAAAGGTCAGGCCTATTTTGAAAAACAACTTACAAATCACAAACCTCTCCTTCTCTGTATCACCCAGACCTCATTTTCCTTTCTCACATGGAATTTTTTGTTTCTACTGCTAACTCACCCAGGAGGCTGGTCCAAGAGTGGTTAAAATGAGAACAGGGCAGGGATCGGAATCAGAATCAGATGATAGAATCAAATTGCTAGAGGGGTTCTGGCCAGTTCCTCACAAAGGGCTAGTTTCTGATTACAGTGGTGTGTGACAAATGCAAGCACATGAATGCCTATGAATGAGGGAATGAATTCTGCAGAATGCCCCTTCAGCTACAGAGAAACAAGAAGCCACTCTTCATCAGAAGAGGAACTGCTGAAGTATCTTGTAGGGGTCAACAGAAGTGCTATACAGAAGCACTGGCAGTCATTCTGAACCCACAAGCATCTCAGCAGGGAAGCATCAAGGCAAGAAGAAAAATGCTGAGTGTGAGCCTCAGCACTGGTCACAGAGAGTCCAAAGAACAGCCTGTGTTAGCGGCTCACTACCTATCCTGGGCACTGTGCTGCCAGAATGGGGAACTTCTTAAAAAGTTCCATGAATCACCCATTTATGTTTTTTGCTGTCTTACATTAAAACATGATAAAAAAAAATACATGTGCGTTTTTCTTTACCAAAACACACATATATATCTTAATTCTTTTAGAATAAGTCTTCTAGAATACCTAGAAAAAAAAAACTGTTTATACATTGATTAATTTATTATTATTATTTTGAGACAGAGTCTCACTGCAACCTCCGCTTCCTGGGTTCAAGCAATTCTCCTGCCTCAGCCTCCCGAGTAGCTGGGACTATAGTTACATGCCACCACGTTCAACTAATTTTTGTATTTTTAGTAGAGACGGGGTTTCACCATGTTAGCCAGGCTGATCTTGAACTCCTGACCCCAGGTGTTCTGCCTGCCCTGGCATTGCAAAGTGCTGGGATTACAGGTGTGAGCCACCGCACCTGGCTACATTAACTTCTTAGCATAATAGTTTTAAATAAAATGCCTTCATTTCAAAAAACAAATTATTGTATTTGCCATGGAAATTCTTTTTTAAAATCAATGTGTAACATACTAGAAAATTAAATTTTAGCTACCAAAACTTGAAAGATACATATTATTCTGAGTCAAAGGGTAAAGTTTTAACAAAATAAAATGAGTCACTTTCCTGCTCATCTTCTGCATTTCTTAGCTCTCTCTTTTACCTCTTACCACCACATCTCATCCCTCAAAATAGAGGATTTGAAAGTGTTGGCTTTAGGTTCATAGGCACACTTATTTGTATTTGAGGAAGATGATTTATTTCATAAAAATAAAATATCTAAAAGATTAATAACCAATAGTGTTCATGCTTAGTACCAGACACTGCCCTAAGAGTTTTATATTGATTCATTTAATGCAACAATCTGTGAGACAGGTACTGTCACCATCATCATGTGCCATTTTTTAGACTAAGTAACTAGAACACACATAAGTAACTTAACTAAGATTACCCAGTTAAGGAGTAGAGCAGGCTGGTCCTGAGGCCATGATATTAATAGCTGCACTATATTGCCTCTCCAGGATGATCTTGTGTTTCCAACTCCATTTGTTCTTGAAAATGAATCCTACTCTCCTCCCAACTCCCCATCCAATTCTTTGCCAGAGTTCTCTTACTTTCAAGAGAATATACTCATTCTGTCACTCCCTTTATTATCTACCTGTCTTCAATTGCCCTTTGCAACTCCAGGAGATTCTCTAAGGAATCTCTCTTGTTAATTCCCTGTGACTTCCTCAAGAGCAAATCTGAAGGCTTCCTATATCTCTTACTTCACTCCCACTCCTTCCCCTCTGACTATTTATTCCCTCCCTTCTCCCTGAGACCTCCCACCCCCGCCAGCACCTCCTTACTCAGGAGATCTTTATGATCACGGCAGCTATCTTTGCCACCTTCTCTTCTCTGACAAACCATTAACTGCAACAGTAATCAAGTGAAAAGTTGGATTTAAAAAAAATTTTTAAAGTCATTCTAGAGTAGCTAGTACTAATAATTGTGATTTTAAAAATTCTGATACATAAACTTCCTGCTATAATTTTCCAGGATGTTTAGATAGTGCTAAGAAAACTTTCAAAGATAAAATAGGAAACATATATTATGCTTATTATGTGCCAGTAAGGTATTACCTTTTAAAAAGTTCTTTGACATTGGACAATGCCCCAGCCACTAAAAACCCCACAGTTTACTATCCCCAGCCCATGCCCCTTTGTCTTGCCACATCCCTAATATTTATCATTCTTTGTTTAAAAAGGTACATAAGCTTTTGGACCTAATGTCTTTGGGTCTTCGTTTTTCCTATAAAGGCTGCCATGCACATATAAATATTAAATAAGATGTGTATGCCACTGTGCCTGGCTCACATTTACTCTTTTACCAAATATTTATTTAGTTTGTACTACATGACAGTCATTGTTCTAGAGCTGAGGATACAGCAGTAAGCAAAGCAGACACAAATCTCTATCTTGGTGGAGCACACACTCTGGAATGGCAAACAGACAATAAGAAGACAATAAATAATATATACAGTAGGCTCTACAGTCATGGACTTTCTTTTTTAAGTTGTTATTTTCTCCCAAATGTCTGGTAAACACAACATGAAAGAATACATTGATATCTGTAAAAATGGCTGTGTCCTGGGGACAATGAGGCTTTGCATTTGTGGTGCATGGGTGGGGAATAGCCATGCTGGCCCAAGATCCCCCAACCTGCCAACTCAAGGACTAACTCACTCTGAGAGTTGGGTAGGGTGGCCTTCCTGTTCCCTCCATCTCTATTAGGCTCTACTCTGCCCTGCTCCCTAGCCCTATACCACTTCACAGACTCTAGTCTGGCAAATCTACTCTGCTTAAGCCATTCTCCAGCGCACTCTCCCTGGCAACAAATTCAGCAACAGCTGCACAATGTTGTGAGCGGCTGACCTCTGTGCTGCTGCCTCTGTGACTGCAGTCTCTTGTGAGCTCCATGGGGAGAATGGTTTTGTCTCCGCTAGCTTGCAGGATATGCATTTGGAGTTATGTTTCCCTCCATTTTGGATTATGTGTCCATATAATCTCATTTGATTTCCACCTTCCAGAAATTATTTAAAATCTCTGGTATGTTGATTACACTTACTGTAGTATTCCATGTTGCAATAGATTTTTTTTCGTGTATTTTTATCACTCCTGGGAAGGAGGGGGTGTAGTCATATGCACCCAGCCATACATGTAATCCTGATCCCTGGACACAGTGGGTGAGCACCTAAGTGAGGCCGAGAATAATGGAGAGTTCGGCAGTCAGGCCTGAGAAAGAGAAGTAGCTCTCTGTGTGATAGACTGTGAAGAATAAAGCTCCAGAACTTTTAGGGTTCGGGACAGCACCATGTTTCCAACTGTGTGCACTAGAGAGGAGCTGAGAAACACTGAGAGAGAAAACTTTAAGAAGGCCTAGTTACATTTCATCCTTGGTTTCCTGGGGACACCCCTGTATCATTATAATAAATGTCTTGCTTATACTAGCTTTTGTGAATTTCTGTCACAAGTAAGAAAGCCAAAAATCATGCATGTTTGGCCTCCCTGAAACCTATTTCTCAAGTAAGGCTGGTTGTTGGGGAAAGGGGCTTGGCTAGGTATGGTAGCTTGTGCCTTAATCTCTGCACTTTATGAGGCCGAGGCAGAGGATCACTTGAAGCCAAGAGTTCAAGACCAGCCTGGACAACAAAGCCAGAGGCAGGTGAGGTGACGCATGCCTGTAATTCCAGGAGGCTGAGGCAGGAAAATCACTTGAGCTCAGAAGTTCGAGCTGCAGTGAGCTATGAATGCACCACTGAACCCCAACCTGGGTAACAAACCAAGACTCTGTTTATAAAAAATAATAATAATTTAATAAATGCCCTGCTTGCCACCCTTGTAAAATAAGCAGAAGGTAGGACTAAAATAAGGCTCTTTTCTCTTAGCCTAATTTACATTGTTCTGTCTATGAACTTGAGCCAGACGGGTGCAGCTCACCTCCCCCATCTCTCAGAGGTCACTTTCTCAAACTCTCAGAAACGGTCTATAACTTTAAAGATATGTTAGCTTGTTACATGCAAAAATGGCAAAACATTCACTAAGAAACAAAAATAACCTCCCCATGTTTCTGCAGTCTTAAGGAAGCCACTTTCCCACTTAAAAATCCAGCCCTTTTCTTTTTTCTAACTTCCTATTTTCTCTTCCCTAACTTTACATTTTATTAAAGCTTTTACTTTTGGGAATTGCTATCTTATAGGGAGATTTAAGGAATAATCCCAAACTCCCTTCCACAAATATTACTGTAATAATATCAACATAGAAACTCACGTTTGCCCAAACCAACATGATGCCTTCTTGGTTAAAAGACCCCTAAAAGGCAAAACCCAGGTCGCTGGATGGTTTTTAAGCTGTGCTAACAACTGAGTGGGAGTATGGCAGCA